TGATTCAATTATGAAAGTTTACACGATAATCTTAAGTGTCTGCTAGTGATTTACAAAGGAGGCCACATATATATATATATATATATATATATATATATATATATATATAACAGAAAATATATTAAATAATTGTCAGACTTACTCCATTTCATAATATGTTGTCATTTGTCATGTAAAGATACGTTTCGGGAGCAGAAATGATTGATCAAGAAAAATCATCTAAGTTGTGTGTTTACAAACAGTAATTCGAACTTTACTAACCAGATGCTTCTCTCTGACTGAATGGTTAACAGCACGTCAGATCAAATGACGGTCCCCATAAAGGGTTATGGGTTCAATTGCTGTCGGAGAGCGCATGTTTTCTATAAAATCTTTTGAACATTCAGGCCTATAAATGTAATTGATATTGTTTAATTAAAAAACAGGCCACTTACTTAAATAAATTATATCTGTAATAATAATGGATAAACAGAAAATATATCATGATTTTTAATCTTTGAGATGTCTCTGCTTTATGGGGAAATTCCATTTCATCACTTTGCAATGGAAATGTAGAGATGCCTCCAGCTTGATGCGATCATATAAAGCAAACACATCATATTCTCCCCTGTTGGAAAGTCAGGAAAAGATTCAGAGGTCTTAGTTTTTAATAGGTGCTTGCATGTGTTTGTGTATGTGGGCTTCAGCATTTCATTTGGTGTCTATCTTTGTTGTCTATGGTCTGTATATGGATATTCATGTAGAAGTGTCTACTGAAAAATTCTCAGCCAAACCAAGCAACATATAATTTTTTTGTCTGATTTTTGGGAAATGTCTCCTCAGAACTACGCATATTTTCTACACATTCTCATAAAAGAAAAATGAATAAGCATATTACAGAAGCTGAACAAAAATAACTTACATTTTCTTTCTCTTTCACATTGAATGAAACATGTATAAAAGAATGATTGCTACACATATACATACATACATACACACACATGCAATTATAAGAATATTTACACATGTACACACACACTCATATTTCAGACACATGTATACATATATTACAAGTGCAATACACAGAATTATAAGAGATATAAATACACACACACACACAGTGATTTTCTAACTGTAGCTTATATGTGGCACAAGGCCAAAAGTATGGGGTACCCAGTGAAGATCGAACTCTCCAGTCATAACTGTATTAGCGAGACAAGTTTGGTAACCATTACATTCCGCATATATATATGTATATATCTCACATGTTATACAATTATGCATTATCTCCTTTATACACAAAAAACACATTATATACATTGTACACAAAACCATATCTTTATATATTGTGCGCATGTTGCTATCTGCACCATATCTATCTATCTATATATATATATATATATATATATATATATAAGCAATTATAAGATTATTTACACATTTACATATATATACTCGTGCATGCATACACACACAAACATATTTCATACACATTGTATGCATATATTACCATCACAATACGCACAATATCTATAAGATATATATATTACAAGGTATCACGCACATATGCATTATAAATATTATACACAAAAATACATATTGTTCACACATTGCCACCTGCATTTTACATATATATATATATATATATATATATATATATATATATTTCTAGTCTGTACTTCAATATCATAAATTTGATTCTCTGTCTCCAAATTCCCACAAAGGTATTTTATCCAATCTCCGGTTGTTAACTCCCCTATCATAAGAAATTAATGCCTTCTGCAAAATATATTGTCATAGCAGTTTTAACATTGTTTGTAGATGTTTTACCTCGTTCAGCTGCCTCCGGCCCTCCTCTTTCCTCCAAGATGAACCCATCCTGCCCGCTGCTCAATCCCCTATGTCTTTTAGCACTCCTCTGTCTTGTCTCCGGAATCACCCAGCTCCTTCCCAGCTCGCAACAGTCCATCGTGTACATCTTTCTATGCTGCTTTTGCTTTTCTTTCATACAAATTTGCCAAATGGTAATGGTTTCAGTTGCTGATTTGGCATCCAGGTTTTGCTTATTTCTCAAAGATGATTTTATTTATTTATGTATTTTTTGCTTTCTGTGTGGTGGTTGGGGGGAGGCTTCTTGTTAGCTGTTCTTATGTTGATGGAATACAAAGACTATAATTTTTGTCTTGTCTTTATATAGCAATGAACAAAAAAAATACATAATAATGGAGTAAAAAGCTTATAAACAATTTTAAGAGAGAAAAGAAAGAAAAAATAATTTAACGGAATGCTGATATGGCTCTTATTCGCCTTTCTGTCATAAATTTTTGGTCGTAGGTCTCTTTGGTAGGGTTGCGCATGCAGAAATATTGGAGAGTGTTTGCTGATGTGTTGCAAGTTAGTGTCAGCTGCATTTTCAATTTGGTGATCAGAAACAGTGTTTATTATTACCCACAGATTTTACCAGTATTCTATTTTAAATTCCTTTTTCTTTTTTACCTTTAAACTTGGTAAATTTCAGAAA